TTCTTTATTGGCCAAGTGTGACTGGACACCACAAGGAATTTGTCTTTGGTGCAGAAGCTCTCAGTGTGCATAAAAAGACAAGATTGATTCGTCAAGAATCATAAAACACTTAATGATTGTCAGAGGGTACAAATAAGCAATCAGGAAACAATCAATATCAATATAAATCGTAAGGATGCAAGCCACAAAGTTACAGTCCTGCAGTCATAAGTGGGAGGAGATGGGGGATAGGAACAATGAGGAGACTAATAGTAAAAATAATGCAGCCTTAATAAAAAAAATTGACTGTGTTGTGGGAATTAGTGGTTTAGCAGCGTGTTGGCATTCGGGGGGGAAACTGTCCTTGTGTCTAGTTGTTCTGGTGTGCAATGCCCGTTTTGCATCGTTTTGAGGGTAGGAGTTGAAATAATTTATGTCCAGGATGCAAAGGGATCTTGGGGGTCATTCAAGTCCAACCCCCCACTGAAGTATTGTCCACTAAGGTCTCCCAACACACCAAGATGATAGGCAGAGTCACTATTTGAGACAGCCGTTTATACAAATGTAATAATTAACTAAAGGAAAATATGGAGCTAAAATTGCAATTTGCTGACATGAAGTTTCGCTTAACGGGCATAAGGGAAGGGAAGAGAAGCTGTCAACATTTGCTGTCCTGGGGTTTTCCACCTAGGAGCAGCAGGGCTGAGCAATAGAATTGCCAATCTCAACCGTGGTCATTCAGAGAGGACTATTTGCACTGCTATAAGTAGAAGCATTACTATAAACCAGCTGCAATACCCTGGAATTCAGCCTGGATTGATATTGGGCCTCATCCTGCTGGTTGGCAGTGGGAAGTTGTTATGGTGAGCAATGGGGTACTACAAGGTTACGTCTTAGGCCCAGGACTCTTCGATATCTTCACAACCGACTTAGATGAGGGAATGGAAGGGGAATTTGCAAATTTGCAGATGGTACTAAGCTGGCAGGAATAGCTAACACCAGGGGTCCCCAAACTTGGCAACTTTTAAGACTGGTTGGACTTCAACTTCCAGAATTCTCCAGCCAGCTCTGCTGGCTGGAGAATTCTGGGAGTTGAAGTCCACCAGTCTTAAAGTTGCCAAGTTTGAAGACCTCTGGCTAACACCCTAGAACCATGATGGCGAAATGCCACAGATGCTCCCCTGAAGGCTCCAGAAGGCGAAAAAGGGCCCTACGGAGGAATCGGAAGTCACCATTTCCGAATTTCTGGGTTCCCCATAGGTCCGGTTTTCGCACTCCAGAGGGTTCAGGGAAGATCTCTGTTTGCGCGTGCATGCGTGTGTGGGTGCGTGGGTGGGCATGCATGCATGCATGCTGGGGTTGCATGCATAGCATTATGGATGTGGCACACCAGCGCATGACACACACCCCACGCTCCTCCCACTTTTGGCACTGGATCCAAAAATGGTTAGCCATCACTGAGTCTAGAAGAAAGGCTCAAGATCCAGACAGATCGTGATAGACTTGAACCCTGGGCCCTATCAAACAAAACAAAATTCAACATAGAGCAACGTCACGTCTTACACTTAGGCAAGAAAAACCAAAAGAACATTTATAGACTGGGTGAAACCAGGCTTAATAGCAGTGACTGTGAGAAAGATCTTGGAGTCTTAGTGGACAACCAGCTAAATAGGAGCCAGCCGTGTGCAGCAGCTGCCAAAAAACTTGCCTTAACAGAGGGATTCAATCAAGATCAAGGGAGGTACTGATACCCCTCTATAAAGCCTTAGTAAGGCCACACCTGGAGTCCAGCATCCAGTTTTGGTCACCACACTATTAAAAAGATGTTGAGACTCTAGAAAGTGGGCTGAGAAGAGCAACCAGGATGATTAGGGGACTGGAGGCTCAAACACATGAAGGACGGTTGCAGGAACTGGGCTTGGCTAGTCTAGGGAAGAGAAGGACCAGGGGAAACAGGAGAGCATCCTCCAATATTTGAGGGGCTTCCACAGAGAGGAGGGGATCAAGCTATTTTCCAAAGCCCCTGAAGGCCAGACAAGGAATAACGGATGGAAACTGATCAAGGAGAGATTCAACTTGGAAATAAGGAGGAATTTTCTGACAGTGAGAACCATCA